GAAGGGGCTAACACCATATTCAGACAGACTCAGCGCCACGACCGCAATTTCCGAAACTCTTACTAGGCCAATGTGTGAAAAGCAAATATATTAGCGCCCCAATGCTGACTCCCTTCCGATTCAGGCGACGACTGGGGTGACCGTTGGAAAGGCCATTTCACACTTGCCTCACTTGTCATGCCGCGACTGCCACTAAGACTAGAAAACGTGTGGACAGAAGTCGACAAGCGGTGACGACCTTTTGCTACCCTCAGTCGGAAAATTATGATTGTGGAGATACGGGCGAAGATGAAGAAGGGATGGAGGGGGGAGGGGGGGAAGAGCCTGAAGCCGGGGCGCATGAGCGTCATGTGATGACCGCGCGAGTCAAAACAAGTGTCACCCTCCTTTTCCAGCCAAGTGGGCGTGGCACAGATCTTGAAACATCGCCACTCTGGGGAACGAGGCCTAGAACTAGGCCTCTTATGACTAGGTTCACCTTGATCTTCCCTACTTTCTGCAGTAAACAAGACATCGGCTACAGACTTTGTGGCATGGGTTCTCAGCCGTCGTGCTATCAAACATCAAAAGTGACGAGTGACACCTGCTTGTAGATCATATCGAGTCAACCTCAGTTGTGACCTGCGAACGATTTTCTATTTAGGCCGGCTAGTAAGGATGGGAATAATTTAATGATCTTTCTATGAGAAAGAGTGTTTTGGGATACGTGAGAGTGTTATTCGGTGGTTTGTTTTTATTGAAAAACTGAATACAGACACTCCGTTCTGTCTTGAAGCAAATGCAGGTAGTCGCATAGCGAGGAGAAGCAGAGAAGCACTGTCATCCAGGATGAGCGGCAATGAAGTGGCCATTTAAAGCTCATCTACAGTCATCGGCAAGCCGAACCACAAAGTCAGACTGCAGAGTTTGCACTCGGTATCTTTGGCTATTGGCCGTTTATATAAACGACCGACAGCTAAGTCATGCGTTTGCGTCCAGTCAGATGCTATCTCCGTTTTCTCAGCAAGTGATCTGATTATGTTTGGCTGGAGACTGTCATTAAAGCCGGAAATGACACTTGTAGCCCCTCCCCCTGTCTTTACTGATAACACATCTTGACTTCTGATTGCTCGTCGTTATGCGACCGCCTGCGCGGGCCTTAGACCGCAGTGAGCAGTTCCGATGGAAGGCTCGGGTTGCGCTTTAAAATCAAAACAATTTGATGAACAACGATTCTACATGAGTTTGAATACTTCTTCTTGCAGACAACGGGGAATCCAATAATCCGCTTTTGAATACATGGTATTTACAACGGCTGACTTGCGATGGCTGATAAACCGGAGCTGACCCTTTCGGTCTCCTGACCAATTCCAGGAAATAAATAATCGGGGACAGTCACTCTCGAGATCATAATATTGCGATGTTATTTAATCTTTGTGTTCAGCCTCCCTGTGTACATACTGCGTTTGTGCTAAAAAATGTCTTTGAGTGTACTGTGATTGGACAGTATTGAAGGGGAAGGGGATGAAGGATGTGGGTAAGCGGCTGATTGGTAGCCGGGATGTGTTCGCTTGCCGTGTTCGCGTAAGTGGTTTTCGGGCGTCGTAACTGGAAGCAGAGACTGGAGGAGACAGCTCCTTGTGATCATACTCCATACCCATGTATAGCCATATGCTACCTAGACTTAATACAACCGTGTAGACAACTTTAAGGCGAGTTAACATCAGGTAAGTTAAATGCCGTATTACTTGATGCGAATGAACTCCGACTGAACAGTAGCAGGTACACGAACTCCAAACTGGAAGGAATATAAACTCAAGAGGCTCATAGCAATGTCGAAACCGAATGGAGGAGACTGCGGAGTACCATTCCGGCTACAACAATGGAAACCCTCGGCCGCGCAAACCGTCAACACCGGGATTGGTTTGATGGCAGTGCCGGAAAAATCCGCGTTCTCTCCTCTGAGAAACACGGCTATCGTTGGTAAGAAGCAGGACTGCGGACTCGCTCCTACCCTATTCATTCTGAATTGCTCCCTCGTGTTGATGAAAGCTTACCTTGAGAAGCGGCCGGAGATAGACATAAACTACCGGACCGAGGGGAAATTGTTAGGAATTCGACGTCTAAAAGTACTTCCAAGGATATCCAAGAACGGCTTTCATGCACTATTGTTCGCGTATGACTGCGCGCTAAACATCACAACGGAGGAGACCATACAGCAGAGTGTGGACCTCTTCGTCTCCGGCTGCTTCCACTCCAACCTCACAATGGGCAAGGAGAAAGGAGTTGTCCGTCATCAACCCGTGCTATGTGCAGACGATGGCGAAATCCGTATAAATGTCAGTGGAATTCCCTGCACAGCAGTAGGGAGATTCGCGTACCTCGGAGGTACGATTTCAAAAAAATCAAGATCGACAACGAAATTCTAAGTCATATATTCAGAGCTAGCCATGCATTCGGTCGGTCCAAGCACTCCGTATGGAAGCGTTGCGGCATCCCGCTCAACACAAAACTTATAATGCACAAGGCTGTTGTCCTGACAACGCTCTTGTTTTGGGCGGAGACGTGGGCTGTCTATTAAGACCAAGTACAAAACTTGGTTATTTTTACCTTAGACGCTTCCGAAGAACCCTTAAGTTGAAGTGGCAGGATAGCATCCCCGACAATGAGATCATGGAAAGAACTGGTGTCTTTAATGCCCACCTCATGCTGAAGCAGATACATCTGCGATGGAGCGGCAACATAGTGAGGATGGACGACGAGCGCCCGCCCAAATGTTTATTCTACGACGACGTATTTATGGGTGGTCGCAGACGAGGCGGACATTAGTGTTGCTATAAGGAAACCTTGAAGGTCTTAGTCAAGCACCTGCATACCAACCTGGAGACCTGGGTGGACCTCGTTCAAACCAACAAGCACGGAGCACTGCTATAACGACTGGAGTAGCGATTTCCAAAGCCAACCGAATAACCGCTGCCATGGAAAAGGCGCAAAGGACCAATGACGCCGGCATCCAACCCCTGCCACTTTGTCCCAACTGTCAGCAGATATTCCTGGCACGGAGCGGCCTCGTTGAACATCTTCAGGTCTGGTGTAATATCAACATGACCAACCAAGCTCTCATCTCAAAACGCATCACCTCCACGAACACAAAAATGATACCCCTACCGACCTAAAAACACTATCAACGTTGTCCCCGACGCCAACGATGTGGACCTAATTCCAACCGGTCATCATTCAACCACACTTCCGCATTTCTCGTCGGCCTGGTCGATCATTTTAGAATCCATCACACAAAGACCAGCAAATTAGTGCCAGTAACTCTAACATACATCCGTCATACTCGCCTCATCTGCTTATAATGCCCTCGGACGTAGGGGCATCGCATGAGTCTTTTCGGTCCTAGGCGTATCCATGACGGCCGAATTCACCACGATGTCATCGCGACAAACCTCCCTCTTACACCTGGAATCTCTCCTACCACCAACATTACCAACTCCGCCGTCACCAATAATAACATTGCCACATATCCAACCCAATATACAGCACCATCACCAATAATACCATCGTCACACAGCCAGTCCAATATGTAGCCAAGTACTGTCCTTACTGCCAGCGCACATTCGCCGCATGCATTAGCCTGGCCGGGCACGTGCGAATCAGTCGCACTGAGTGCTGGGAACCCCAATATACACCCGTGACACCTGGCTTACCTTCCCACACAGCCTTAGGACATTTCACTACCGCATGGGCCTATATGGCTATATGCGCCTTCATGAAAACTTGCGGTAAAACACCGCAGACCCCACCACCACACCTCCCTCCACCAGCCTATACATCGCACATGAAACCGCCTCACAACACCCGTCACATGAAGAGGACATGCACCGCTCACGGTAACCTGGCTTAACTTGGTGCTTGACCAGATCGTGTGTGGCATACGTCGACGGGTCGTTGCAGTTTGGTCAGCCAATGCACCTACTCCCATCATCAGCTGGTTGACAAACTCGGACAATTAACCGGTGCAGGGGAGAGGAAAAAGAGACACAGCCCGACTAAAAAAGTCATTTGCACGGTTCCTCTATAATAAATATAACGCTTTTTGAAACTATCACGATGCGGTATAAGTTGTGACTTGGAAGGCTGTCAGATGACTGGATAACATGGTTCTCGTGGTCAAAACTGTGAGTGTACGTGGGGCGACCGGCCGGAGGATTGAGATTCAGGCTCAGCTGCTCCTTCTTAATGTGGGCTCTATGGAGTTCGCACGAAAGTGAGATTAATATCCATTCCCGCGAAAATTTGGCACACTACGTAAATTAAAGGCCGTGTGTGCCACGTCAAGAACGCCACAATCATCCACCTCTACAAGCAGAAAGGAAACCGCCAGCTCTACGACAACCATCGGGGCCTCTTGTTGTTAAACATCGCCGAGAAGATCTTCGCTCGCATTCTTCTCAACCGCCTGAACAAACATGCGACTCAGGGTCTCCTGCCGGAAAGCCAGTGCAGCTCCCTCCGTCATCGTGGGACCACGGACATGATATTCGCGGCCCGATAACTGCAGGGAAATGCCAGGAGATACGGACCCACCTCTACTCTACCTTCGTGGATCTGACGAAAGCCTTCGACACGGTAAATCGCGAAGGACTGTGGGAAATCATACAGAAATTCGGCTTTCCCAAGCGATTCACTCAGATGGTGCGTCAGCTCCACGATGGCCTGTTGGCGCGAGTTACGGACAATGAAACTGTCTCAGAGGCATTCGCAGTGACCAACGGAGTGAAGCCGAGCTGCGTTCTCGTGCATACCCCCTTCAGTCTCATCTTCTCTGCCATACTGATGGACGTCTACCGTGAAGAACGCCCAGGACCCGCATCGCCTACAGAACGGGCGATCAACTGCTTGACCACCGAAGGATACACTCTCAATCGCGTGTCTCCAAAATCAGCGTCCACGAAGTTCTCTTTGCCTATGACTGCGCCGTCAATGCAATTACAGAAGGAGACATGCAAAGGAGCATGGATCTCTTCTCCACCGCCTGCGAGAACTTCGGCCTAATCATCAACACGGAAAGGGCTGTGGTCATGCACCAACCGCCACCCAACACAGCCTCTGCCCACAATGTGCCGCAAATCAGCGTGAACGGGACTCAACTGCAGCGGTGGACAACTTCACGTATCTGGGCAGAACCCTCTCCCGCAGCATCAAAATCGACGATGGAGTGGTCCGCCTGATTTCCAAGGCCAGTAAAACCTTCGGTCGTCCTCAAAACACAGTTTGAAATCGTCACGGTCTTCAACTAAGCACAAAACTGAAGATATACAAGGCCGCCATCCTACCGACGTTGCTGCATGGAGCAGAGACCTGGACGGTGTACATGAAGCAGGCACGGTAACTCAATCACTTCCACCCCAGTTGTTTACGTCGAATACTGAAGCTAAGGTGATAGGACCTGATCCCAGACACGGACGTACTGGAGCGGCTGGGAATCCTCGGCATCCACACTATCTAAGACAACTACAACTACGCTGGAGCGGCCACCTCGTATGGATAAGCAACGAGAGGCCACCCAAACGACTCTTCTATGGAGATGTCGCTATGGGTTTATACCGACAAGGAGGTTGAATCCGGCGCTACAAGGCTACGCTGAAATCCTCATTGAAGCGCCTGCAGATCAACCCGACAAACTGGAAAGATCTCGCCCGAGACGGACCTACGTGGAGGAGGACAGTAAAGATAGGCGCAGCAATCTTCGAAGTCAACCGAATCACTGTCGTCAAAGCCGAACGCGAGACACGCAAATCTCAAATGCCGCCGCCGCCGCCTCCGCTTCACAACGCCAACGCCCAACCGCCTCAAAGTTGTCCACGATGTCAACGGACATTCCGGACTTGTTGAACATTTTGTACCCCTCCGGATCAATTGCAGCACTCGAACTATACCAAAAGCCGTCTCTCTGTTAACCTCTCTTTCGCTTCCTACGCTATCAAATAACGTTGACCGCCCTCCCGAACAACCACCACCATCCTCTTCCTCCTCCTCCACCTCCTCCTCCTCCGCCGCCTCAACGTCTGCCGCCGCGGCTCCCGCCATGCCCATCAACACTGCACAAAATCCTGACACACCAACAAACACCAACGCCACCATCGTCAACAACAGTACTACGAACCCGGTCTATACCTGCTCTCATTGCGACCGCACCTTCACCACACACATCGGCCTGGTCGGTCACCCGCGAATTCATCATACAGAGACTGGTGCCTGGAGCACCCACTTACATCCGCCGCATCCGCTTCCACTGTCCAAGCCGCTACTGCACATTCACTCACCGCATGGGCCTATTCGGACACTTGCGCATCCGCGAAAACCTGCGGTAGACAACCGCCGGCTGAATCGCACCACGAATTTCTCCCTTGCCACCATCTGAGCGTACACCAACATCACCCACCACAAGTGTGCTTCTCGGCCCCTTCCTCATGCGACTCCCTTGCTGCATGTGTGATAGGAATGTGAGACGAAGACGGTGCGTCGAGCGCCGTGGCTCGGAAGACAGCCGACTGACGCCCCAACTCAGTCCACACAGTCTGCCCAGTTGTGTGTTGTGTGGAGTGGCGGACTGGTGGGCTGAGAGCCAGGCTGTCATGGTCCATTCTCAAGCGATCTGTGACACCCTCATGCATGTGAGGAGAGTGTTTGTGTGTGTGCTTTGTGGGTAGTGCCTCTCAGTCGACGACTATTTGGTTACGCAACCTTGAAGGGTGACGGCCCAGGCTAAATGCAGAGCCAAGTGTCGCCCTTCTGGGTCAAAAGGTCTGAAAGCGTGTTCTGCGGCGGCATCAGTAAACCATGGCCCTCGCAGTCTGGTACGCGCTGGCAGTTCCCTGACACCTGGCGCCTTGTCGGTAGATACGCGTGCACTCGCGCTAGGTACACAGGTGGTGGGCATGGCTGCCCAGTCATCCTCGTCCTTCTGACTTCTGTTGGGGTGTTGTTATTGGTGAAAAATCCTGGTAAAGTGTATGTTGTGGGTCAGAGAGTGTGATGGCACGCCTAGGTGCGGGTCCGACAGGGCTAGCCACCTGCGCCCTCCTCCACCTCCGATCCCCTTTAATCTACCTTGACACCGGGTGCAGGTGGGGAGAGGGGGAGAGAGGGTGTGCGGTAGATGCTGTACCAGTGCCCTTCCCTCTCATTACCGCCGTCGGAATCGACTGTCGATGTGTGTTGCCCCCAAACGGGCTACGTGCTAGATGCGCTGGGCAAACACGGGGCCATGTCGGATTCTGGCAGGCGTTATCGGATTAGTGCACCATAACAAATGCCAACATTTCCGGGTTCGGTGGCAGAGCCGGCTGCCGACAGGCGTCGCGCACACTGGGACCCCTGCCGTCCCCCATTGTTGTTGTTGATTAAAAAATCTGGTTATTTGCTGTGTGGACCAGGGAGTGTAGAGTGGAGCGCCAAGGCGCGGGCTCAACTGCGCCATCTACTTGTGCCCTCCCCTGCCTCTGGTCTTCTTTACTCTGTCTTGACACCGGGTCCAGGTGAGGAGTGGGGAAGAGAGAGTGCGGTAGATGCTGTACCGGTGTCCTTCCCTCTCACTATCGCCGTCCGGAATCGACGGTCGAACTGTCATGTGTGTGTGCCCCCAAACGGGCCACGTGGTAGATGCCGACCCCCTTTCCGTAACATGCCGTAACGCTCGCGTCTCTCTATGACGATATCTCCCTCGACCTTCCCCTGCAGTTGCCCACAGAGCTGCGTTCCTCACCGGTTGTTTAGCTGGAAGGTTAGTGTCGCATCCCTTGTTACAACCCATTCCGTTTGTACAATTAACTACTATTATATGTATTCCCAGTTGAATCTCTTCCTAACGTTTCTTCTTCCCTTGCACATGAATGAGTATTGCGATATATTATAAGCTCTATTTAGATCGATCCTAGCCAGGATCCCTTCCCAGTGCTTCCCTACCTCGGTGTGTACCATCCTTGACGTCCTCGGCCGATACACTAGTTCACGTGCAAGTTGCCGGCGCTGCGCCATCTCCAAGGCGCACACGGTTGACGTTGTCGTTCACGACGTTCTAAGTGTTGTGTAATGTCACCTATTAAGCGCTAGTGACTGCGGGTGTTCTGTGCTATAACTGGATTAGGAGAGCCCGATTAAAGCCAAAACAGTCACTGCCTCGTGATTGGCAGTCACAATGACTCAGGCTTTCAACTTTCGAGCAGTTCGTCATCTTTCATTCTGTCGGAGGGTCACAGTTAGAATCCATCCTCAGAGGACGCATTATGCTAGCTTTATTAGACTAATCAGACTGATACACGCTAATGTCAAATCAGAAAAGGTACCCTAACAAAGGCATATTTGTGGATAGGCAGTGGCAGTGCTCACCCTTATGGCCCTGTTGAAGACCTTCCGATCTGAAATATACTGTTTAGTATGTGCACGCGGAAGTTATTTGATGTCCGGACATAGGTGTTATTCTGTGGTAGAACTGGGTGATGAAGCAAAAATTAGGTTGGAAACGCCTGCTCTCCCAGTTTCTAACATCTTTTTATAAACATTTCCCTACTACCGTTGTACGGCCATTCACGGATCAGGTTACGGGACGTGCTCGCCACGTTGTGCATTGGACATCAGTCTAGAGCTCTTGTAGGCAGTCGAATGCCGACAGGCGTAACCAAAGGAATAAGTGACCTTAGCTCATTGGCGGAGCGTTGGAATACTTAGTGCACAATGACTACAGAACGCGGGTTCGCCTACCAGGTCATGCAGACCAGACTGCTAGCGAACAATAAACCAGAAATGGTTATCCCAGTCTCTTTTTTCTTTGTTAGCACTCCCTTCTCTGAATATGTTACTCGTCGCAATGCAGTTGCCTACGAGGGCCCCAGATTAATCCTCTAGGCATAACGGGGCAAGCACCTCACGTAAAATGATCGGTGATCTCCCCGCCACAATAGTTAATATGTCTGGTCACAATCGTCATGTCCAAGGGCCCGTAGTTTCATGTTAGGGCGTTGTACTATTTATCACTCAGTGATCAACGAGCTTGGGTTCGAATCCTAGGTCATCCAGACCTGGGGTTGGGTTTGGCTAGCCGGCTATGTCGAAAAAGCATGAAATGTACATTATAATCTCCCTTGTCTTTGACGCCACTCATTTCAGCGTGTATTTCTGGTCACTGTGCGACTTCCTCCGAGGATTCTAAATTAAGCCTCAAGGCACAAATGGACGAACATGTTTCCTAACCATTTCGTTGAACGCACTTCCAACATACTAAATATTATTAATAGAAGCGGAGATGCGCGTCGCTGGGTATAAATGAGAAGGAAAGGTGATCTCGGTAACCCTAATTGCATTGTCCTGACCTTTCAAAAACAGACATGTTTCCATCGTCGAAGATAAGTATCGTACCGCGCTTCACTATTTTCATGGGTCTTATGGCCATGTTACCACGGCGTTACTAAAGTGGGTTTATCTTGCATTTGACAGAACGGGGGAGAGCGGAGTAGGAGGAGGTTGTTGATCTTCTCCTTCCGTTGGGGATGGGCGTGTTGGGCTTTTGCACTCATTGCCCGCATATGCACAGGGAGCATCACTGTAGTCACTGTGGCGGAGGGAGAAAAAGGATGACAGGATGCCGTCAATCCACACATCCCACATTGGGGACCATCGTTTGGACGTTGTCGGCCATCACCTGCATCACCATTTACCTTAATTGTCGCCCTGGACTGCTGATCTTATTTGCACCTGTCTGACTGCACTTTTTTCTTGTCTGGGGGGGGAGGGGTGGGGTTTATGCTACAGCATTGACAACAGTGCCTTCTTCGGGCCCGGGTTGTAGTACGGCTACGAGCGTGTCCGGCAGAGGTTTTCCTGTTTGGATTCACGTTTGGTCTGGGTTTGCGTTTGTTATTACGTTCGCTGGACTGCGTCCGGAAGGCTAGATAGGCCACAAAAGGGACCAAGCAATGGTTGATGGGGCTTGTCCCAGTGTGTGAGGCCTCGATTTTTTTCTTGAAAATATGTGGTAATTTCCTCGATCAAGCATTTTGACATTCTCGAAGAAGAATGTTTGTCCAGAGTCCATCCTGTGTTCCCCCACCAGGGACAACGGCTTCGTCCTCCTCACATCCCTCATATGTTCGTTACAACGGGTCTGTAGTAGCTTGTCGGTCTCCCCAATGTAGCTAAGTTCACAGGATTTACACTGGATCCGGTAGATGACGTTTGTCATTTCACCTCATGACTGGGGTTGTTAGGTATCATGCTAAGATGCTGAATGCCTAACACCAACTTATCCGGTGAATCCGTTGTTACTTGTCTTCGTTGTTAGATGGGTCATTCATGTCTTCTCCTATGTCATCGACAAACAAATCAGCTGACTGACACCCGCGAAACAACTACTTATGACATTTCACCTTTCGCCGAGTTGTTAACGCTGCGGTTGGTCGTCTATTTTACGCGAGAGTAATCGTCATCGTCATCTTACTGAAATTTAAGAGTTGTATTGAGAGCATGGAGCAAGTGGAGAAATGTTTAAAATGTCAGCTCTGAATTCGAATTTGAGTCGGGGATGCGAACATATCGGCGAGTTTGGCCAATGACAGCGTAGTCCTCCACGTCATTTACTTGCGTTCTCCTCGATTGCCTTTTGTCCTTCTTCCATCCCATAAACTTATAAGGCCTTGCTATTCCATTTCGGAGGAGGCTACCGCGACTGTTGCTGGTGTATGATTATTTTTCTCAATCCCTGTTTGCTTAGATCACCTGTGAGCGAGGGTCTTAGTTTAAACTTGCAGCAAATGCTAACCACTATCGCCTGTGAGTTGCTATGATGGTGTCGACGTAGAGTGGATAGTTGAGCATGCCCGGTAGGGCTAAAAGCTGCAATATGTGTTGCTCCAGTGAAGTATTTTGCATATGCGCTAGTTCGATGTATGCAGCGGGTGGGGAGAACGGGGTGTAGTGGTCTGGAACCCAGGTTGCCATATTACGGTTCATCAATGCATTTGGTTGTCTCTTCCACGGTAATGCACCGAGTTTTCCCACCAGACACACTTTCTGAACCTGAACATTACTTCTACATCGAGCTGTCCTGGAACTTGGCTTACATCTGTGGTATTACTTAACTGTTCTGTACGGTAGTCAGACCATGGTAACCGCCTTTGGCTGCTAGGCGTCTGTCCTCACGCCGCCTGGTAATCCATTAATCCCCTCTGCCTCCACCCCCAAAACAATAAAGTCCTACCGAGAAAATGGCATATAATGCCTCAGGCGCTCCAGGGTGTTTCACGTCCTTCCATTCATATCTCAATAGCAGGATTCTTCAATCACCTGATATAGTTAGGCTGATCCATTTAGGGGTGCACTGTTTACTTCCCGCGAAAAGAAAAGTTAGAAAATACAATCTAAATGTGCTGGAAATTCGGGCTCTGTTTGTGCTAAATACCTTCGTCGTTGTCGAACGGAATCAGATGTTGACATTCGAAGAAGGCCGTCTTCCCAGAAACACAAATAGCAATGGCAAAGTAAAGACCAATAAACTGGTCTTAATTGATACATTCAACTCTCACGGATATTTTGGTGGGCTAAATATAAGGGACAAATGCGATGAAAGCACTGAATTTAAACAGCAATCAACCAATCAACCACAAGCGCAGTCGCATATGGGCACTCTGGTGGCGTGTGATGACGCATTGCAATGAACTGGAATATAAAGTTGCCTCCGAGAGGTGCTAAGAACGAATGGCTACTCTCGCGACCTCCTCAACCGGCACATTCGAATACTAGATGGGAGACCATATCTCAGCCGTCCCGAATTTTGGTGAGCACCTCCGAACACCAAGAACGCCCTAGTAGACGCCAGTCGTCTTTTCACGACAGTGGGAATTGCGATTGAGCACAGACGGAGGACAACCATCAGGCACCGAATTATCGGACTGAAAGGTTTTCTGCCGCAAGAGGAAATGTTTAGAGTCATTTACAGGATCTAGTGTGGATGAAGTCAAAATGACTATGTCGGAGAAGAAGAAGAAGAAGAAGAAGAAGAAGAAGAAGGAATATTATCTCGAGAAGTGGAGTGGCCTAACATTCATCAGCAGTGAGGGGGAATGACGCCAGATCTTAAGTTCCGGCTGTCGTAGTGAGAGACAAGTGCACATTCAGGTTTGGCAAGGCCAAAATCTTCGCGAGAGGTGACAACCCGTGTGAGTCGCGAATTACTTGACTTATGGTTCACAGGTGCGAAGTTCGTAAACAGACGCAAGGGTCTTCCTTCTCTTCATTCAATGTCAACTCTTTGCTGGGGCAAAGAAGCTAGGGAAATTGAGAATGTACAGGCAAAGACTCGTTTTAATGACTGTGCTGGTGAGCCTTATCAAGGCAGTCGGTAAAACCGGAGATGAAATTGCGCCGCATGATGACTTAACCATGTCTACGAAGAGTACGACCACCTGCGACGAAAGAGGGCACTCCTACCCTTACTGCGTGTGCGGCCGTATGATGTCCGCGTCCTATAAACAATGCACCCCTAGTGTGTAAATCACAAACTACTCCTGCTGTCTCTGGTGATGTGCTGGAGTGTGAATCCGAGACGCCGTTCAAATAAAGACCTTGTTCATGCAGCTGAATCACTTTCTTATTAACTGCATTCTGGTACTAGGCTTTTCGCTTGTAGTCAGGCATGTTGATCATAACTGCTGAACGTTAGGCTCCCCGTCAAAAATATACGAAACGTCAAGCACCCTTTTCCTACTCCCTTTCCCCCTTTCTGTCCACTCTGGTAACCTGGAGTGTTTGTTACCTTCTTAACAACCAGATGGTCGGCCGAACAGAGCCTTTCGTAACTGGTTGCGCGCGAACTGGCTTAATACAAGGTGGACATCACGTCTCTCAATGAGCCTCGCTTATCGGGTCAAAATCCACTAAGTTAAACACACTCGAATACACCTGGAGCCGACGTCGTAAGGCAGAGCGGTCAGACTCTTGAGTCGTCTCACCTCCAAGAAGAAAATTGCGAGAAAATTACCCTGCTTTCAGCTTGGAACCAATAATCGTCTCATGATTATAAGGCTTCCGTTCCGTTCGAATAACTTCGTCACGATTACTAGTACGTGTGCCCCTCCCAAAAGGACCAGACATGACAACACAAAGCACAGGTTATTCGGATACCTGCACATCCTCCGGGCAACTGTGACGAAGCCGGACAAAGTAACTGTCCTCACCCACTTTAGTGTCCGCGCAGGCATTGAGTACGCTACCTAAGCGGTATTTCCAGCTCTTCACGGAGTCAGCGGCAGCAACGGCGGCGACCTTCTGTTATAGGTATGCAGGGACCACAGTTTGATTTCCGCCAACACCTTCCACCTTTCAAGCAATAAGAGAGGACTGTCAGTGCACCCTAGCTGGCTTCATTGCCGGCTTCTCGGCTGCGTCCTTGTCAAGAGGCACGATCAGCGCGGTGCGCGGGGGGTAATGCTGGACAGACCGCCACTTTTTCGCTTCCACCATGAGGCTGTAAACCGAGTGCCACAGTGGTAGATACTCATTGGATATCGAACCAACTTCATTTGAAACCTATAAATGCAATGATCTCCGACCCACGAACAAGCTTGTCTCATTGTTCGGGAGATGCAATGACGAGAACAAACTCTACATGATTTCAAAGGCACAAATATTGTTCGCTTACGTCGACATAGTCGAAACGTCTGTTGCAATTATCACAAAATACCACTCAATTAACATTGCGGGCAAAATGCATTTATGAATGGCAATACGTTGTCCATATCCTGTATCCAAAATTAGCGAGACGTTCGGCAGGCTGTAGCACTCGTTCTGCAATCGCGGAAGATTCCTCATCAAAGCAGAATTAACAACATGCTAGGCTGTCACGCCGACTAAGTTTATCTAGAGTGCGGAATTCAGCAAAATTTACTAAAGCCGCCTGAGGATTCGAACCCAATTCACATATGCTGAATTCGTACTGTGTCAAACTTAATGTCATGAGAACAGGTTTCTAACATCCAAGTTCTCAATTCGACCACACTGCTCAACGTTTGTAAATTCCTACGCATTTTCGTCTCGAAAGAAACGACGTGACGTGGGGATACAAATGCATTGCAGCATGCGTAAAACGCATGGAGGTTTTTGGTCGCATGTGCATGCCGTCAGCAACAAAGGAACTGTCGCAAGTAGCTCGTGCGAAACAGATCATCAGCATCCATATGACAGGCGAAAATTCGTGAGTGAGAACGCACACACATCAGCCCTGCGATTGGGTGAAATTCGCTTCTGTGAAGAGTGGGACCAGCACGTGTGTGGCCCGCGCTAGCCAGAGGCTGTATGCAACGACAACCACTGCGCAAAATCCCATCAATAATCACGGTCAGGCCGCTGCTGCATGAGGGAGGAAAGGAAGAGTGAAGCTGAGTATTGAAAATTTACCCTCATAGCAAATCAGTCCTTCTCACACTCCAGTAAAGGTGACGCGCCTGAGCCTATCATGACGCAGCAAATGTTGTCACCCGGATAACTTGCTCCTCCTCTGGGGAGAGGGTCACATTGCAGTGAGTTCCTCTCCATATGAACTTTACGGAGCCTCTCAGTTCTGTGAACTCGGAGCCTGTGTGCGTGTGACCCACCAAACGACGACAACGACGACGGCGTAACGTTACGTCGGCCAGCGCTTCAAATCCCACCTCGGCTCGCAAAGGTTACTGCAGCTGGAAGAAGGCGAAGTAAGAGAGAAACCGATGTGGCAACTACCTTCCTCGCTATGGACGATCAAACCCACTCTGAAACGATCACTACGTGCTAACAGTTGTGTCTTAGATGGATTTCAACTGACATAATAGGTCGGTCCTCTGGAAGACTGCGAGTCAGACTCCATTAACTCCTTCTTAACGTGGCCTTTATGGCACTTTCACTTGCGTGCGATTTGAGACACCTGAATGAGGCCCTGTGTGTGTGTGTGCGTGTGTGTGTGTGTGTGTGTGTTTGTGTGTGCGCGCGTGCGTCCCCCAAACGTGTCACGTGGTGGATGCGCTGGACCAACACAGGGGCCATATCGGATTCTGGTAGGCGTTATCGGATCCCACACCATAGTAAATGACAACATTTCCGGTTTCGGTGGCAGAGCCGGTCGCCGACAGGCGTCGCGCACACTGGGACCCCTGCCGTCCCCCGTCACCGTGTCTGCTGCGCCTTACCGTGCAGCACACGGTGAACATCGTCGGAAGCGACAGTCGAACTGTCGTGTGTGTGTGTGTGTGTGTTTGTGTGCAGCATCTCCTTGCTGAACATCGCCGGAAGATCTTCGCACGCATCATCCTCAACCGCCTGAATGATCATCTAGAACAGGGCCTTCTACCGGAAAGCCAGTGCGGCTTCCGCCGTCATCGCAGGACCACGGATATGACCTACGTCGCCCGTCAACTTCAGGAGAAGTGTCAGGAGATGCGGACCCATCCCTACTTTGCCTTCGTGGGCCTGAAGAAAACCTTCGACACGGTGAATCATGAAAGACTGTGGAAGATCATGCAGAAATTCGGCTCTCCCGAGCGACTCATTCAGATGGTGCGTCAGCTGCACGACGGCATGATGGCGAGAGTCACGGACAACGGGGCTGCCTCAGAGAGAGTCGCAGCGACAAACGGAGTGAAGCAGGGATGCGTGTTGGCGCCAACCCTCTTTAGTCTTATGTTCTCTGCCATGCTGATGGACGCCTACCGTGATGAACGCCCCGGGATCCGCATCGCCTACAGGAAGGACGGTCACCTTCTGAAGCAACGGCGGATGCACTTCCATGCGCGCATGTCCACAAACACCGTTCACGAACTTCTCTTCATTAAAGGCTGCGCCCTCAACACCACCTCGGAAGAGGACATGCAACGGAGTGTGAATCTCATCTCCTCCCCCTGCGAGGACTTCGGCCTGGTCATCAACACGCAGAAGACGGTGGTCATGCATCAACCGCCACCCAACACAGCCCCTCCCCCCAACGCGCCGTAAATCAGCGTGAACGGAGCTCATCTGCAAGTGGTGGAGAACTTATCGTATCCGGGTAGTACCCTCTCCTGTAGCACCAAAATCGATAACGAAATCGCCCGCAGGATCTCAAAAGCCGGTCAAGCCTTCGGTCGCCTTTAAAGCACAGTTTTGAATTGTCATGGTCTCCAACTCAGCACGAAGCTGAAGATGCACAAGCCCGTCATCTTGCCGACGCTGCTGTACGGAGCGGAGACTTGGACATTATACACAAAGCAGGCACGCCGACTGAACCACTTTCACCTTAGTTGTCTTCGTCGCATCCTGAGGCTGAACTGGCAGGGTCGAATACCTGAAACTGATGTACTGTAACGAACGGGAATCCTCAGCATCTACACCATGCTGAGACAAATGCAGCTACGTCTGAGCGGCCACCTCGTGCGCATGGACGACGAGCGACTACCCAAACGACTCTTCTACGGAGACGTCGCGACGGGTTCTCGCCGTCAAGAAGGCCAAATTCGTCGATACAAGGATACCCTGAAGTCCGCCCTGAAGCGTCTGCAAATTAGCCCGACCAACTGGGAAGACCTCGCTCACAACCGACCGACCTGGAGGAAGACAGTGAAGATGAGCGCTGCGATCTACGCAGCCAACCGTATCGCCGCCGCCAAAGTCAAATGCGATGCGTGCAAATTACAGCTGCGCCCACTCCGGAACGCGGAAGCACAACCGCTTCCAACCTGTCCTCGCGGTCAACGGACATTCCGGGCACGAATTGGACTTACTAGACACCTTCGGATCAACTGCGCTTCCCGGACCACACCAACCGTTGTCTGTCCCTCCCTCCGCCCGCCTCTTCCTCGTCCTCTCCTCCACCGACTAACTTTGACTGCTCCTCCGCACTCCTCGTCCTTCTCCTCCACTGCCCCAACGACGGCCGCTCTGGCGGCTGTCACGCACATCCACAACCCTGACACACCAACAGACATCACCCGTAGAACCTCCGACTCTAGAGGTAAGGCACCAACCAACCCCCTTCGCACTCGACTCCACTGCCCACACTGTCTCCGCACATTCACGCATCGCATGGGCCTACTCGGACACATGCGCATCCATGAGAGCGGAACTGACCGCAGTCCCGACACACCTACCACATCCAACACACCCACCATTCCCAGCCCCACCTTCGCTTCATCGCTCTGTGCGCCTATCGTCACCACCAACGCCTACGTAGCCGACACTGACGCCGCCGACTTCTCACGCCCACACTGTTCCCGCACATTCCCCTTCTCGCATCGGCCTGGTCGGCCACTTGTGAATTCATCGCACAGAGCCTGGCCAACCAGTGTCTGGGTCACTCATCTACACCCACCGCACTCGCCTCCACTGCCCACACTGTCCCCGCACATTCACTCGTCGCACGGGCCTACTCGACCACATGCGCATTCACGAAAACTTGCGGTAGACAACCGCCGGCCGCACCACACCATCACACCCTTCTCCCCCCTCCTTCCCTCCCTCACCACCACCCCACCACACATCAACACTCACCCACCGCAAACTACGCAAATAGTTTCATCAGCCGCTGCATACCCACGTACCCACGACGGAAAAACGGCAGAGGATGCCAACAATTTGGCCCTCACTACCGTCCATAAAGAATGTGTTCGAGGCCACAGAGCGCATTGCGTCAGAGTTAGGCGCGGACATCGCTCATTGTCTGGCGGCAATCATGTGTAGCAGTATCATAAAAATGAAGGATCGGTTGACGCAGGTGAGCAGTCGGGCGTAATCTATCAAATTCCGTGCCATAACTGCCCTTGCCATTACACAGGCCAAACAGGGCGACAGATCAGCTCAAAAATACTTCAGCACAAACGGGCCGTTCGAAGAGGCGACCCACTATCTCAATTCGGCACTCAAACGCTGGAGGAAGGCCATGAGTTCGATTTCGCCAACACGCGGATATTGGCGCGAGCCGGCAACAAGACGGGTCGACAACTGTTGGAGGCGTGGGTGTCGGACACCAACTCTATCAATAGACACGTTGAGTGGCCGGCGTGTTATCACGTACTCCGCCCACGCAGCCAGGTGGCGCAGCTCACATCGCCGCAAAGTACAAACCCGGTCACCACGCCTGGGGGCCGTGGGCCAGGCAGCACAAATCAGACCTAGCCACGGACGTAGTTCCCTCTCCCCCCTTACGACACAATGATATAAATGTTCACACGTTGCTGCACTCTAGCAGTGTCCGATGGTGAACTCTTGTTCGAGTTCGAAAGCTGAGGCCAATGAATCTACCGCCTCAGTGATCGTGCATTCGTCTTCTTTTAAATAAAGTTTAACTGTTAAACCAAAACACACAATACTTGGTAAACAAGCAAGTACTTGTCGGAAAAATTGACCAGGATGACAGCTCAGTTTACGAGATGAGGGGAACGAGGAAAATCTTGATTAAATTTGCTATCTTCTCTCTCAATTAACTTCCACTGTCCCGAATCGCGCACTATGGTTTGCTCAAGAGCAATGCGAGCAGAGCAAACGCATTTCTTTAAGCTCTATGACCACAACGAAGTTCTTAATAGAGTTTAAGTGACTGACTGCAAAGGTCTCGTTTCTAGTTGCATTGACTCGCATGAACGTGCAGTTTACAAATGCAACCTTAATTCAGGATGGAATATGGGGATTAGTTTGGTAGTACTCTAAGTCGGGCATGTTGTAGTCTTTAGTCGTGTCCTGCAGGGAAAGTCTCGAAAGTCTGTTAAGTAATCCAGTTGATCTGGAAATGCTTCGATGGAGACCACTCATTGAGGTAAGCTTTAAGTTAGAAATAAGGTTTCACAAATCTAATCTCAGCACTGAAGATATTCGTCTGATTTTGCCTTGCAAATCTAATCCAGATCCCTCATGGTTGTCGATAAATGATTCAGAAGAAATAATAAAAACAAAGCAGACCGAGGTGGCCAGTTCTGAATTATTGACTGCCATCAGACAGCCATGGCTTTTCAGACAACCAGCCGAGGCTGATCAGCACCCCGTAGAGAGTGGCGAGTACGAAAGGGTGCGTCTGCATCAGACTGGGGTCGATCGCCCTCGCAGTGCTGCATGCTCTGCTACCGCTCCACCGCCAGTGGACTCTGCCGTCGTCATCGTCGCGCTACCCCGGGAAGTAGCTGTCATGCCCCATTTACAGGCGGAAACGACCTGTCAGGATGCAGAAGGCTCTCGTGACTGTCCTGGCGCTGTGAGTACATAGACACATTCTCTTGAGACCACCCATGAACAACCTTGACAGGTGCTAAACACGACCCTAGCAGGTTCAAACCGCAAGGTACGCACCCAGGCGTATACAAAATGTAAAGGCTGCTCTGTCTGAATTGGTGGTAATTAGGAGCAGGTTTTTTCTTTGTTACTGCGTCGGCGGCGATACATCCATGTAGAAGAACCAACACCGTTTTTCGTAGAGACCTTCGACTGAGTTCTGCTGACGCCACAGTTAATTCGGTCTTGTAAAAACACAAAGCTTATCTGAGTCCTATAAAATGCATAATGGTTTCCTGAGCCCTGTAAAATCCTAACATAACAACTGGGACCACAACCACAAACATGCACGGCAAAGTTTACGAAGCGGATTGTCTAAATGTAAATGTTTACGATGTTTGCAGAAATTAGAAGAAAGCGACAAAGAAACCCGCCTAATAACACATAATTGCTACTATTTCCGACGTTACAGAGTTTGAATAAATGCGTAAGGTGAAACGCGTAGCCCAAGAGATAAGACTTAACCGTCCGTGGGCCAGGATGGATAAACTGCAACCTCTTCAGAAGATTGAGTGGTCGGATCTCATTTCGTAGCCGTTCCTGCAGTTGACAAGCCCCAGCCTAACCCCAACCCTCAACCCTAACCCCAACTTCCAACCCCTAACCTCAATCCCTAACCCCTTACAGATAGGGCTACGAAGTAAGATCTTGCCGGTTGGTTACTGCACATTTCAGTACTGACCAGATTGTCGACCTAGGTTCGCAGGACTGAGTGTTCTGGTTGATGTGCGAACGGCAAAGGACTTGCTGGAACAAATCTTACGGACTACTGACGGTTCGGAGAATTTAGGAGACCGTGTGGCGACAGTGTTTGATACAAAAATGCAGCGGAAACTAAAATGACCTGCAAGGCCAGTCAACCCCGCGGAAATCGATTTTCCTACCATGCCAGCTGCATCCCTTTTTATGGCTTCTCCGCAGGGAGACAGCAAGCCGAATGGTCATTAGGGTAACCAACTTCCCTTCGTCGAGGTTGACTGTCGAAGCAGACATGTCATTGCCACCTCTCTGGAACCTGCCAGACAGCCTCTAGAAGCCAAGGCAACAAGCGCGTGCTAAAGATCGATCAGCCCACTAGCCCAGTAAACTACTTGAATTACTGCTCCACTTTTTGACATCAAAAGCTCTGACGATGGACAGCCGACCAAGTTTAGCAATTTATTAATTTTCCCAGCGAGCCCTTTCCCCTTCTCAGGTTGCTAACTGGTTAACTTTTTTTAGCAGCACTTTCAGCCAGTGACGTATCTAATGGAATGTTAACCGAAATTCCAAAATGCGTTTTTGATTAGGAAGAAATACCTAACTGAGGTTGTAATGTTAAATGGCTTGCAATTCAATCCCAGGAGAGTTCAGTCACATCAGGGCGTTGGCTTTTGAATGCACTGCTTTTTGGCAGCTTGCAAGAACAGCACTCTGCAAAAAATGATTACTTCACTGCTTTGGATTGCTCCATTGATTTTTGATTCCCCTGTTAGCGAAGATATATTTTACGGAAAGCATGCTCACAAATATCCTTCGAGGTATTCATTTGGTAGCACATGATGTTTTCTTTAGATTTCACTACCGAAGACAGAATTTCTTCTGGCTTTAAAAGGTGTTCCAGTTCTCGAAAAATTATGAGCTTGATCTACTGTTGCATCTGCGTTTAGGGTTTGCAGTCTACAATTTGTACACTTTTTATGTAAGGAATATCATGCATTCCCTATGCCGTTAAGAAGTTAGTATTTAGGGCTCATAACATTGTTCAGTGTATGCGGACCACGGTGCATATCTCATAAACGACATAGCTATGCGGTAGATACGAAGTCGCTTGAATGAACATTAAGCAGTTTTAAAAAATATCATATTTAAAGACTTTTTACTACCGAAAGACACCTTATCTTCGAACTTGCAATTTGAATTAGACGAGATGTGCTATCAAATGAGTACATTAATAATGTTTCAGAGCATGTTTTCTTCAAAATATATTTAAATTTACAAAGGCATTGAAAGTCGGAGAAAACGTGCTTGTACTTAATCAGTCAACATTTCCCGGCTACCATTATCGCTGGCAGCCAAAAAAGTACATCCAATGGCCGACACCCTGGTGTGACTGAAATATCTTTGGAACAAGTTCCACGCCATTCAATATTAAAACCCTGCTTAGGTGACCCCCCCCCCCTATTTGAAAATGCACTTCGGAATTTCCGGCGACCTGTTAGGAGATCCGTCACTGGCTTCGTACTATCCCTTGAAGTATAACGGGGTACTGCAGAAAATTGCCTCCTCGGTGTGTTTACAAATCATCGTGGGCCAATAAATCGAAAAAATAACCCTTGCTTAAGGCAATTGTGGAGTAGGAAGTTAGATAATTTCTATAGATGTAACTTCAATACTTATCTACATTTCATTTTATGGATTCTTCTTAGCCAAATAAAGCAATTTCTTATTCGACTAGCATGACAGGGATGCGTATTTTGCGAGTATGGCGAGTTTGATAATGAAAATAAACTGAAACAATTGTGATAGGAGAGCTTGAAACCGTGGTAGCTGGATTCAGATTCGGCTTGCAGATGAACCATTCAAGGAGACCGCTGCAGCAAAACAAAGCTTCTAAAATGACTGTTTGAGTGGACCGTTATTAAAATAAAAACCAAAATCGGCGTTTGTGTGGTTACTCGGGAACTTGGTATTTTATTCATTAGAGCTCTGTGGGTTAATGCATGCACGAGAAATATGGGCCAACTATAAAAAGGTTAACCATTATACTAAACTGTTATTCAAATGCTTTTAACGTGTATAACAGGTGATAGCTGTTGCTTTCTACCAACACATGTTTGTTGCACTAAAAGCGTTAATTCTAAGTTCGGGTAAGTTATTGTCTTTTCATGAAGCGTTTTCCCGACCACCTATAAAAAATCACATGTAATTTGCTTTACGCTGGTTCCTCCTTAGAGATTTGAAAAAAAACTATTTTCTATTTATGGAATTACATGAAAGTACTTCTACTCTGTACATAGTTGTTCGAGTTCTGTATATTCTTTTCCTAAAGCGTTTCCTAACCAGCATATTTTGCCATGCAATTTGCGCTTTGCATTCTTAACGTGTCGATGACGATGTACATGTACGTTTTATGAGACTTTTTTCTTAGTCCGTTTCATGTCACTGTGAAATTGCACATCAGTAGCGTCATGATGTCCTTTCATGGGGACCACTGTGTTGGGGATTTGTGGCCAAGGTGACTGAAGGGCGTCGCACGTCCCATCTTTAAACAGTTTTGTCTAAAGCCGGTGTATGGTTGACGCGCTAACTTACGCATTTAAAGCATCCCCCATTTCCTGATCCAGTCACCTTGTCGGTTCTGGCCAAGCGGATCCGTTATCGTGCTAAACGGATCAGCATTCACGCAGGCAAGGGAGGTATATTGATGCACACGCTTACTTCGGAGTTATTATTGAAGGTCGGCATGCATTTGTCTTATCCAGTTACTCTGAGCTTCTATCACCTGATCCTGGTTTACAATTTTTAATCGCTAGACCAGAGTGAAGACGCTTAGTCTTGTGTGAGGGTACATATTCTTGTATGGCCTATCCTCTGCGATCTTCACCCTCAAAGCCAACGGTTACACCAAAACCTGAGAAGGCCTTTCTACTATGTACGTAATTACCACCCACGTTGGCCTGTCAGAGTGCAAGCCGGAAAGTCCCCTCCACAATTCCACACACTCGACCAAAAAAAACACACCCACTGCCTTCACGAGATAAAAGGGGGGAGGGTCCGATTCGATGGTGTTAGGCCGTTCACAAATAGGACAACCATCAGAGATTCTAACTGGCTTTATTTCCTCGCAATGTATTTTTGGACCTGTGTATCATGAGAACGCACCAAGCGGGACACACACCTCCAACCTCCTATCCGCATTACCTACATGCAAGTTCACTTTGTGACCATGAGCAACCAAACATTGAAGTGCGAACGAAGGAGGGGGGGAGAGAGAAAGAGAGAATATCGGCCACAAAGGCGCTTTTCCTATAAGCGTGAGATTGCTTACCACTAAGAGGTGCACCTGGACTTCGAGCCAAGGTTCGCGGACAGACTACGCTGGCACAATGTACTTGGCTTCCCATAAGTGCGTAATCACTTACCATGTGCCTCAAAGTACTTAAGAATTGTTTAACGTAAATGTTTGAAGGCAGGAGTGGTTTTGTGTCTTGACTACTCAGAGTATTGTTGTGTCAACGTCACCGGTGCTAGAATATTACGCAAAATATTAAATGAAATAGCTGCTGAACGGGTTAAATGCAGATAGTTTTTCGTGAAAATGAGGAAGACGAAAAGGGCCGAGAGTTCAACCATGTGGACCTTAGTCATGCACACATGAATGGCTTAAACTCTTTTTGTTTGAGCGTGGTGACAGTCAGGTCTGACAGTGCGAATGAAGGCAGTGTCATCTTGATACCTAATGTGTTAGCGCAGATTTTTCTGGAGTTTTATTTTTTGTTAGCCACCCACTGCAATAATTACGCTTCTTTTCGAACTTGCCATCTAGACTGTATATCAAGTTTTTTAAAGTTCAGAGTCCGGAAGCCAAAATTACGCAGACAGAATCCAGAGGCAAAGTGTGTTCTTACATTTGAGATATGCCAAGTTTTGTACGTTTGCCATTGCGAAAACTC